GTTGTTGTTTTATTTGTTTTTCAATTTGGTGATATAAGTGAATGTTTTTTTAATTTGAGTTTAAGTAATTATATCGTTATATATATATATATTAATGATTAAAAAAATTAAAAAAAATATTATTTTATAATCATTTCCGGCTATTTAAAATAAAATTTAAATATTATTTATTTTTTGACGGTGCTACATTCCTTTTCAAGTTTCTGGATCATTTTTAAAGGTGTAGCAAGTTAGAACATTATTTTTATTGTATTTAAAACTATTTTTATTTAACGGGTCACGGGTAAGCATGTTTAACCTGCGAGTTAAATGGATCGGCCATTGGCTTTATAATTCAAAATCGCTTATAATTGCGGGTTTTTTAAACCACTCCGTTTAAGCCCGCACCGTCAAAATCCGCGGGCTAAACGGACGGGTAGCCCGTATACCCACCTCTATCTAAAACCCACATACTTTAGGGGCGTTTGGTTCACGGAATGTAAGATTACCTTTGAGAATAACATTACTGGAATGTAACATTACTATGGGAATATTGTATTACCTTGCTTGATTTGTTTAGCAAGAATGTAAGATTACAGTGTTTGGTTGGAGGAATATAATATTTTTTTATGCATATTTTACCAAATTATCCTTATAATATATTTTTTTAAAGTTAAACTTTAATATTAATTTACAAATATTTGAATGAAAATTCATAAAAATATTTTAATCGTTAATATATAATCAATATAATTAGTATATTAAATTTATATTTTTAAATAATGTTCATAAGTATCATATTTATTTATATAAAATATAATATAATATAAAAATAATATTATGGTAGTAAAATATTAATTTATATAATTACATTTTACAATAATATTATTTTTTTCATCCCATAAAATTATAAATAATAAAATATTAAATATTAAATATTAAAAATATTAAATATTTTAAATTCTTAAAATTATTAATATTTTAAATTCTTAAAATTATTAATATTTTAGTAAATCAAACTCTTTGTTTATTATTTTTTTATAATTTTGAGTAAAGTATAAAAAATAAGAATTTATAAGGATTATTATAAAAAGAATTCATTAGTCTAAGGGTATTCTTGTCAAAAGTGGTGGGAATGTAAGATTACCTAAGAATTTGGAGGTAATGACATTACCATCATTTTAACTAAAAAATATTACTATTGAGAAAAGAGTATTCCCAGTAATCTAATATTCTATGAACCAAACGTAGGAATACAATTTCAGAAAAAAAAACATTCCCTTGGTAATGTAAAATTCCTCGAACCAAACGCACCCTTAGTATTTCATAAACTTTAGCCGTCAATAATCTCAACCGTTGGATCTAATGGTGATCTATCGGTCCAGAAGAAACTCTAGATGCTAAGGGGTAGCTACCATCGCCTTCCTCTAACAGCACCAAGATATCCGACGGTCCAGATGTTGTGTAGGCTCCACCATCCAGCAAAATGGCCACGTCAGATCTGGTTCCACAAACCTCTACCATCCTCGTACAAATTCCTCACCCACACTCGTCCAAAAAGAGGGACCACCACAGCAATCAAGGGGATGAAACTGGCCAAAATGAGAGGATAATGGTCTGGCACGAGGGAGAAAAGGGACAAACGCTCCCCTCCATATAATCCGCGAGCAAAAATCAAAATAGGAGGGGATTCATCAACCAAAAAAAGGCAAAATCAACAACCATATTCGGAAAAAAAAAGAAAATCGAGAGAGATGAAAAAAAACCCTTAGAAAGGATTATGTAAAAGAGAAAACAAAGAGAAAAACTTTAAGAGAACAGAGGTCCTCTTTAGAAAGAGACTTCCCTGAACTTGTAACACCATCGGCAAACGTTTTGAGAAAGACAAATTTCTTTTTCTTCAAATTTGTTGAGGTTTCGTGATTTTTAGGAGTTTTGAGTTCAGATTTAGGTTGGGAGCAGAAAAGAAGTCAAAAGGAGAGTTTATTTTTTTTCTGTCACCGGTGAACGGTGGCAGGAGTCGAAGAGCGGCTATCGACTCGGCAGAACAGTTGCCTTTTTCTGGGTTCATGGATGAACACTAAGAACACGTGATGAACATTTCATAGGATTTGAGAAAAATGTTTTGAACTGAAATTTTGAGAGGAGAAAAATGAAAGTTGTTATTTTTGTTTGGCATTTATACTCATTAAAATGACCCTTTTGGTCTAATTGCTTCTTCCATCCTCTGAAGTTCATTTGGAGTTCAACATCGACCTCAATGTGGTTTTCAATGTTCATGGTTGGGTATGCAAATTTCATTGAGTTTCATTTTAGTCTTATTTACCTTGTTTATCTTTTCTTTATTTCTTTTGATTTTGTTTGCTGATGTTACATGCATTTCATTTCAGTCCATGTATTTGTTTGCTTATTTATCGGTTCTATATGGGTTGATATGTATATTTGAGTTTCTTAACTTTAGTTGTGGTTTGATTTAGTCCTGATTGCTGGTCCTCTGTCCTAGTTATTATTTACGCATTTTACCCCATTTATATGTTCATACTATAGATTATTTTTGTTTCTCCTTTTTACTTTATTATTTTTGTAATTTATTTAATGTGATGTGTATTTTTTAACTTACCCCATTTATATGTTCACATTACAGATTACACACAACAACAACAACAAAACCCTATTCTCATATGCAATGGGGTAAGGGGGAGGTGGGGATAGTAGGCTGCCCCCAACGCCAGGTTGAGAGCAGCTTCTGTGGAAGACCTCTAGCAGTGAGAAAATAAAAATAAAGATAAAATACAATGCATGTATAAATAAATCAATAAATATATAGTTGAACAGTTTTCATATACAGTCTTCATATGCGCGTCTGTAATGGGAAGTAATCCCTGCAAATAAATCCCCGAGTAAATATCTCTGCTTATAGACAGAAAATGTTAGAAGGATACACAGAAGTCAGCGATAGTAAGCTACGAGAAGGAATAAGGTCAAATGGGTTAAAACCTAAACTAAGGCAACACTACTCTGCTACCCTAGTTATAAGCCTTCATAAATTCCAATGACAAAAACGTATAAAAAGTAGAAGTCCTAGAAATTAACTACAAAGGTATTAAAAAGAAGACAGAGATGCTACACTATATGGTTGTGACCCACACTACTCGGCTACCCTGGTCTTAAGTCTCCATACTTTCCTATCAGAGGTCATGTCCTCGGTAAGGGCTAAATCCTTCAAATCAGATCTCAAGCATCCGACAGTTGTTGCCTAAGGACATGCCCAAACCACCGTAATCTTCCCTCCCTCAATTTTTTGGATACAGGCACCACCCCCATAGACATCCTAATTGCAGAGTTTGGTGTCATGTCCCACAGAGTCCTACCACATGCTCATCGAAGCATTCTCATTTCCGCGGCCTCCATCCTCCTTACGTTATCCTTCTTTATTGCCCAACATTCTGATCCATACAACAACACTGGTCTTATTGCCATTCTATAAAATTTTCCCTTAAGTTTTAGAGACACCTTCTTGTCACACAAAACTCCAGTTGTAGCCCTCCACTTTAACCATCCCACCTTTATACGGTGTGTAACGTCATCATCTACACCCCCATCTTTATGTATCATATACTCCATGTACTTGAAACAATCCTTTGAGGGGAGAACGTGTCATTCGATGCATATTTCTACATCTTCATCGTTTTGGTTCCCACTGAAGTTTGAACATAAATACTCTGTCTTTTCAATATTGATCCTTAGACCTTTTTCTTCCAAAGAAGTCTTCCAGGTAGACAGTCTACTATTCAGCTCAGATTTTGTTTCAATAACTAGGACAATGTCATCAGCGAAAAGCATACAACATGGAACACCGTCTAGTGTCGCATAACAGATGTCGTCCATAATCAAGGCGAAGATGTAAGGGCTAAGACCCGACCTCTGGTGGAGACAGATTTCCACTGGGAAAGCCTCGGTGTCGCCAACTATAGTCCTGACGTATGTAGTAGATCTACAGTACATATCACGAATTACCCTGATATAAATAGTTAGGATCCATCTCGTTTCCAAGGTCTTCCAGATCGTATCGCAGGTAAAGCTATCATACGCCTTCTCAGGGTCAATGAACGCCATGTTAAGATCTCTATTTTTCCCTATATTTCTCCATAAGTCGTCGAAGTAGATGAATCACCTCCGTAGTAGACCTGCCTGGCATAAAGCCAAATTGGTTTTCCGTAACCCTAGTTATCTATCTCAACCTAACCTCTATCACCCTTTCCCATAGCTTCATGGTATGACTGAGTAGTATAATACCTTTGTAGTTACCACAACGTTGGGGATCTCCTTTATTATTATAGATTGGTTTCACCGTAGACTCTCTCCACTCCTCTGGCATCTTGGTAGTCTCTAAAATAATATTAAAGATGTTAGTCAACCACTTAACTCCATCTTCTCCTAGAGCTAACCACACAGTGAGAGGAATTTGATCTGGAGCGACAGCTTTGTCCCTCCCCATCTTTCTAAGAGTCATTTTGACTTCCTCAATCCCAATCCTGTTGTAGGGCAGTTATTGGCCATAGTATGATGGTCGGCTGACCCATCAACGGTACTATCTCTACAGGGAGAGGCACCGTCATTAAATAATCTGAAGAAGTAACTACCCCAAACCCTCTTAATATCATGATCTTTCACTAAAAGAACACCATTGTTGTCTTTAATAAACCTAATGCTACCTAGATCCCTTTTCCTATTATCCATAGATTTTGCAAGCCTAAAGATGTTGTTTTGTCCTTCCTTGGTGTCTAATCTCTTGTACATTTCCTCGTATGCCATATCCTTTTCTTTAGCCACTATTTTCTTGGATTCTTGCTTTGCCTCCTTGTATCTATGTTTAGCTCTCGATCTTTCTTCGTCGTCATTGCATTGTAGAAACTCCTTGAAGCAAGTTTACTTTGTCTTCACCTTAGTTTGGACTTCGTCGTTCCACCACAACGATTCTTTATGTTCCTCGACCTTTCCTGTCGACAACCCAAGGTGTTTTTTCCCACCTCTCTGATGGAATTTGCCATATTTTTCCATAACATATTTTCATTATTTGAGTTTGTAGTTCCAAAACTTGTATGAGACAAAACCTTACTCTTAAAGTCATCAGTTGTCGCTCTATGTAAGTTTTTCCAAAGAATACTAGATTTACCTAGTTTAGCCCTCCTATGAGTGCTCCGCTCGTGGCGTACGCGAAATACCAAAACCAACAATCTGTGTTGTGATGTACGTGCCTCTTCAGGGAACACCTTACAGTCAATGCAAGCTCATCGATCCCGATTTTAAACCATGATGTAGTCGATTTGGGTACAATGTCCCCCGCTATGGAACGTAATCAAGTTCACATCTCTCGTATTAAAGAAGGAGTTAGTGATCACCATATCGTGTGCAGTAGCGAATTCAAGCAACGTGCGCCCCTCCTCATTCCTACTACCAAAATTGAAACCCCTATGAACACCGTCATACCCGTCGATTGCTCTACCTATATGGCCATTGAAGTCTCCCCCTATGAAAACTCTTTGGTCATATGGAATGCTCCTAAGTACATCATCTAACGAATCCCAGAAGCAACGTTTCTCCCCCTCCCCTAAGCCAATGTGTGGGGCGTACACTGAAAGGACATTCACCACTTCCGCTTCTATAATAACCTTAATCATCATGATCCTATCACTGTATATACAAACTTCAACTACATTTTCCTTGAGCTTAAGGGATACCAAGATACCCACCCCATTTCTAGTGTTATCTACGCCTGAATACCACAACTTGTACCCATTACACTCTCTGGCGCGAGCCCCTTTCCACCTAGTCTCTTGAATACATGCAAAATCTATTTTCCTATTACTTAGTACGTTGGTCAGCTCCAGCAGCCTAGCATTCAATGTGCCTACATTCAAAGAATAAACTCTAAGTCTAGTCTCCTCGCCACCACTCTGTCAAGCTCGCTCCCTATACGCCCTATGGGATATAGAAGAAGGACATGACCTCAAGTAATCATCTATAGCCGAAGCTATGAGAAACTATGAAAAAGGAATCCAAAGAAGACAGAAGATGCAACAATAAATGCTAGAAAATTGAGGGGTACTAAGAAGCCTAGTTGGTTACTTAATAGGATTTTAATTTATATAATACTATTGTTATTATTATTGCTAAAAGCCTAGTGTTAAAAAGGAAGAAAATAGAATAATATTGATTTTACTCTGTTGAGATCTAGAATGAAACTTCAATCTGATATGGATCTATAACGGCTAAAAGAACTTGCAGTTAGCAACAAAGATAAGGCACATGCAACAGCAAATGGTTGTTGAAATTACAGACCAGTAAAGATAGAAAAATAGATGAAGAAATAATGATTGTTGAAATTTAACCAACGAACAAGATTCTCTCTTGATGAACCCAAGACAAACATACGAGCAACAGAAATCAGCAGTGATGAATTTGATCTTGACGAGGCAGATAAAAAAATGAAACGGTAGACGAAACAAGTAGAAAGAGAATAGTTTGTCTAAACAAGCTAAATCTGAGTTGAAAATTTCAACCTTTTGAAGGAATACAACAAAAAAAGAAACAAAAAGGTACAACACAACAGATCAAACAAAGATGGAAACAGGAAAAAAAGGGGAAATTTTAGTTGAAAGATTTGGAGTTAGATCTACATCTTTTAAGTAAAAAAGAAAAATCTGGATATTTTAGGGATAGAGAAAATACAGAAGAACAAAGAACAAATTTAAAGATGGATATAGTTTGAAGAAGAAACAAATAACGATTTTTTCAGAGTTTTAAAAACTTTCTGGAAGAAGATTGAAAATTTGATGAACTCGCTCACTCTACAAATTGGGAGAAGAGAGAAATAGAGCTGACAGTTCTAAATTTTGTAAATCAATAGATCTGGAAATTTTGTTATAGATTACACACATACATACATATATATGTGTGTGTGTGTGCGCGCGCGCACACACGTATTTATTATGCCATAAACATAGCTTATGATTTTAATTAGTTAGTTGTAAATTATTAAGATGTTTTTATATTTTCTATTTATGTGTATGCATCCTATAATATGCATTTTTTCCACGATGAATACCAAAATATAGATGGTGCATATGTACGTCGTGGTGGTTTGTTAAATATTTAAATATTCTGGTAAAGCTTGTTTGTAACTATGTTCATTGGTACATAAATTTGGTCACATGATATGATTTTTGCATAACTTGTATGATACCCACGTAAGCATGACTCCACTTGATCAAATAATTAGATTAAGGGTAATACCTTTTTATTTTACGATCACTATAAAGTGATTGTCATAAGGTATAAGAGAATTACTTATAATATTTTTAAAATGAGAGTGGTGAGTGTTCTGAATCGATAATATTTGCTCATGAATTCTTTGATCTTATGGATTTATTGTTGCTGGTTTGGTTGTGTTATGCTTATTTTAATGCAAGATATTATTTTCCAAAATTAGCAGTAAAATGAGTGCATTCTATATTTTTTTATTATTTGGTCATGGCTAGATATATGTGCACGACTCTGGGCATGACACGGTCTGACGTGGTAGTTTCTAGAAGGTCCAGTCAGCAGCAGTTTTCTAGAAGATCTATTCAGTGCCTTCTAGAAGGTGGACGGGCAAAGATATCTTAGGAGATTTATTTTTAAATTTTAAAGTTTGAATTTAGAAAACATTTCGATTTATCTTTAAGATTATTTTTATTTTAATTTCTATGTTATCTCTAGGTTTTTAAAGGCTATAAATACCCTCTTGGGGTAAGCCTAAATTTATAAATTAGAATTTATTATTCTTCTCCTTTCTAGTTTTATAAAAGTTCTCTCTTTTATTTTTCAAGTTTTCATTTTTCTCTTATTTTAAGTTTTGTTTTTAAAAATACTAAGTATGACTTTTGTCATGCTTAGCTAATTTTCTTATAAGCCGAGAGCTGAAGCGATGACGTAATTCCAACGTGAGAATTAAAGAACACCTTAATAACTTCATAATATCTCTTTCAATCTCTGTGTTTATTTTTCAAAATCAAAAAAAAAAAATTCAAAATAAAATATTGACTTTGGTCAATATGTTGTTGCGATTAAATGTGTGGGAGGAATGATCGGCTTATTGAAAGCACATTCGACTTCCTGGGATCACACTTGGCGAGATAGCCTTGCCAAGAGGGAATTGAGTTCGAAATTAGTAGTTATTGAAACAACAATCCGAGTCGGTCTTCACGAACTTAAACGGTTATTGATCTAAACAATTGATGTTGATCGGATCAATTTTCGAAGCCGAAATCAAAGATTGCATTGGGAATTTCCTAAGTCCCTGAGAATCGATTCTTACTTCTCTTTACTACGTATTTCCTTTATTTATTAATTGATAAGAAGGATTTTATTTTGACATCAAAACAACATTTGTCAAATTGGCGCCATTGTCGGGGACTACACCAAAGTTACTAATTTTTATTTGCTTTTGATTTATGACAAGGACAAATTCGGGTGGATTAGTGGAGTACGACTCGGAAATCAAAGCCAGAGCTAGGATACTTCACGCACAAACGTTTCGGGAAAGAAGGAGACAACGGTTAGACCCATAATAAAATCCAGAATCAAGTTCAAGTGAATTCATTGATACAGAACCAAATCCGATGGCCGATATCACTTTGAGAGAGTTAGCCGTAACTCCTACTGAACAAGAGCTTTTGTGCATTGATTTTCCCCAAGGCAAAACTCCATACCAGTTAAAAATCAGCCTTATTCATCTCTTCACTACCTTCCGTGGATTACCAAACGAGAATCCACATAAACATCTCACGGAATTTCACATGGTCTGCTCCAGCATGAGAACACGGGGAGTTACTGAGGATCAAATCAAACTTAGAGTTTTTCCTTTCTCCTTAGTCGATTTGGCTAAGGAGTGGTTATTTTATCTACCCTCAAATTCTATTACTACATGGGCTCAAATGACTTGCCTTTTTCTTGACAGGTTTTTCTATGCACTGAAAGCAAGTGAGTTACGAAGAAGAATACTTGGAATCAAACAACTTGATGTAGAGTCACTCTATGACTACTGGAGAGATTTAAAAAATTATGTGCTAGTTGCCCACAACATGGGTTAACCGAACAAACACTCCTTCAATATTTTTATGAAGGAATAACTCCCTTGGAAATGAAGATGATCGATATTGCCAGCGGAGGAGCTTTGGTGAACATGACTCATACTGAATCTAGGGATTTAATTTCCATAATGGTCGCAAATTCCCAACAATTTCGTCCAACTAATGAACCTCCTCGAAGGGTTCATGAGATAAGTTGATCTTCTTTAGAAAATAAGATAATTAAATTAACTGAAGTAGTCAACTCTCTTGTGACAGGAAAGATATGACCAAGCAGATTATGTGGAATATGTGCATTATCTGATCATCCAACATATGGCTATCCACTGATTCAAGATGACACAACAACTCAAGTTAATACAGTGGGGAACTTTCTAAGACCTCCCCAGAGGGCTTATAATCCCTACAGTAATACTTACAACCCAGGATGGAGGGATCATCCAAATTTCAGTTACGCTCAAAACTTAAGACCAAATCAAACTTATCAACCAAGGCCACCTCCACCACCCCCAACAGCCGCAAAAGACGTCGTTAGAGTCAATTGTTGAAAGATTGGCACTTTCCCAGGAAAAGTTTTAGATTCGTACTGAAGCCCACTTACAAGAGGTAGACAAATAGATAAGCCAATTAGTTCATACCGTGGGACGCTTGGAATCGCAAGGTAAACTTTCATCTCAAAATGAGGTAAATCCAAGGGAGAATGTCATCACCATATCTCTTTGGAGTGGTATTGATTGCGCCACCTATTCCAGAAGGTGAAGAAATCTAAAAATGAAAGAAGACAGTTAACTCAGGATCCCAGGAGAAGAGAGACGAAGTACAAATGGATCCAACGCCATCTCTCTATTTCGTGCCACCATATTTTCCGTCGGGATTAGTAAAAATGGATAAACAAGCTTAAGAAAAGAAAATACTAGACATATTTCAGAAGGTGGAAATCAATATACCTCTCCTTGAGGCTATCTGAAAGGTTCCAAGATATGCTCATTTTTAAAGGACGTATACACAACAAAGAGAAAATTTATCGGGAACGAGAAGATAAATCTAGGAGAACATGTCTCGATTGTATTCCAACAAAAGTTGCCACCAGAACTGAAAGACCAAGGTATGTTTGCAATACCTTGTAAAATTGGTAAAGTTGGGATAAAGCAAGATATGTGTGATCTTGGTGCCTCTATTAATGTGATGCCTCTCTCTGTTTATAATATGATTACTAACGAGCCCTTGAAAGATACAAAAATATCAATTCAGCTTACCGACAGATCTGTCATTTTCCCAGAAGGACTCTTGGAAAATGTTTTGGTGGAGGTAAACAACTTAATATTTCCCGCTGACTTTTATGCAATTGACATGGAGAATCACCGCACCAGCACTTCTTCTGATATTCTATTGGGGCGTCCCTTTCTAAGTACAGCGCACACAAAAATTGACGTAAGAAACGGAGTTTAACTATTGAGTTTGATGGTGAGATCGTTAAATTTGATGTGTATAAGAAAATGAAACACTCAGACAAAGTGGCGAGCATAAATTATGTCAGTATTATTGATCCTTTGGAAAATGAGTTTGTAGAAACTAATTTTTCTTTTGATCTATGTTGGGAGTTAGAAGATAATAATAAGGAAATCAAGAAGTTGAAAAAAAATATTATCATATTGTGCCAATTTAAAATTGATTCTTGCTAAGTCTAAAGTTTTGCCTTAGGTTTTGTAGGCACCTGAGATAGAACTAAAACAAATATCGAAAAACTTAAAGAGTGTCTTTTTAGGAGAAATTGCTACTTCACTAGTTATTTCAGATAAGCTTTCAAAGCTAAAAAATATCTGAAGAATAACCTATGAGAATGCCAAAATATCAGATAAACTTTCAAATTTTAATCCAATTTCACTTAAATTAAACCACCCCCATGTGCTTTTTAACCTAACAAAAAAAATCAAAACAAAACAACACATTTCCTACCTATTTTCTTCACCAACCCGATTTCTCACCTCAAAAAAATAGTTCATCGCTTCTTTCCTCGGTGACGTTCGCACTTGCCGTCCTTACCACGTCGTTCTGTTCGTGTCACGACCTCCTACTCGTCCGCTGCTACTCGAATTTGTTCGCACAAGGAACCAACAACACCATGACGTCGCACTACCAATCATTCTAGGTGGACATCGCCGACTCAATGCTCTAGGTTTTGTTGTCGTACCAAGCGATTTGGACTCCCGACCATCGTAACATGCTCCTCACCCAAATCTAGCCTGAGGCCACATACTAAACTCTCCATCTGCACTGTATCACTCTACATTCGTACCCACCGAACCGAACATTGTTCGTCGTTCATCTCTGATATGTTCATCATCTCCATTCTTCCATTCCATGCCAATCATGGCTAATTCTTCCTCTCATCCACAATCGACAGCCTTCTCCTCATGCTTCAAGCATTCTGCAGCATCCAAAAATACTATTGAGGTAAACTCCAATTCTATTTTCGTTCAGCCGTTACTAATGTACAATATCATTTATGGTTTTACAGAAGATTTGTTCAGCCGTTACTAATGTACAATATCGTTTATGGTTTTACAGAAGATTTAGATGTTGGTTTTCCACCAACGACACCACATGGTGATGTTTCCAATTCACGACATCACCCCGATCAGCCCACTTCACCATCCCAGTGTCTCCCGCCACGGTCGTGGCCGTGGTCAAAAATAAATCCGGGGAGTATTCTATTCCTTATCTTATACTTTAATTTTACGTTTTGAAGCAAAACGCTTTAAG